TATATCCGATGAACCATGTGAATCATAAGATGTGGCATTATATAAAAAACGAGAGGTAAACACATCTCTAGTTGGTTTTGGGTCTCCACCACGAAATCATGTAGGTCACGAAGCTCATTTTCACCAATCGTCTTCTGTGAGATCTTTGAAAAGAAGTAACACATGTGTGATGGCCATTTTCAAAAAATTTAGCTTTATAGCCCTGATTGTAATAGGTAGGAACACTATCAGCATCACATGACAATCGTGAGCCCTAAAGCGTGTTATTGACAAGTCATTCATCGACACTAGCCTGTTCATGTTGGCTGAAAACCCAATCGGAATTTTAACCCCCTTCAAGAAAGTGCACATCACCCTCCTCTCTTCTAGGGTCAGGTTAAAGCTAGCCACGGGCAAGACGTATTTTCCATTGTCCTGAGGTACCGGGTGGAGCTCTGGCTTCACATTTAGCTGCACCATGTCTTTCCATGACTTCAGACCATACTTTGTCTTGACTATGTCCATCAAGGTAGCAATGAGACTCTCAAACACATTTTTTTGGAGGTGCATAGCATCAATGGCATGAGAGACCTCCAAGTCTGGCCAATAAGGCAGGTACGTAAAGAAGATCGACTGTTTCTTAAAAGGTATGCTGGGACTGGAGGTACCACATTACCAAGGCAGAAATTCTTCTCTGCTTTGCATCGTTGCCTAATGGAGTGTCCTCTGGGGGTTAAGAACCTTGTACCACCTTTTTCCCACCCTTCTTCGTCTTGTTCCCTGTGGAGGATTCCCTCGTTGTAAAGGTCGTTGTTCTTGTACTGACTGGCCCCGCATATGGGACATTTATCTAGTGACTTGAATGTATCGCCATGAAAAAGGATACAGTAGTTGGGGCATGCATGGATTTCTTCAACCTCCATTGTCAATGGAATAATAACCTTCTTCGCTTGGTATGTGTTGGCGGGAACTAAATTTGGCTTTGGCAACAACCATGACATGAGACGCAATAGATCACTGAAGCTACAGTCTGACCAACCCTACTTAGCCTTCAGGATGAGCAACTCAAGCACAAAACGTAGTACTGTCCAATGTTTCGGACAACCCTTTTCAACATCATAGAAAGTCTCCTTCGATGCTTTTTTCACCTTTTCTCAATTTTATAGACGTTTCACGCTCTTTAGTATAATCTCTGGTCCAATGTCCCGAAGCATTTCCTCCAAACAATCACCATCATCTTCGTCCCTGACACATCTACGGCCATCATTGTGGGCACCACCTTCGTCGTTACCATCCCAACCACCAGCATCACCACCTTGTTCACGATCATCATCATCCATTTGTGCATCAAGCTCTGCTACATCATCTGTTTCACCGTGATGAATCCATAACGTATAGTCCTTAACAAATCCTCGCATAATCAAGTGTGATATGATGATAGTCACATCTTTCCATGCGATATGGTTCTTTCAATCGCTACATAGACAAATAATTTCAGTTTTCTTCTAGGTCGACATTGCATGCTTCTCCGTGGATTCAAGAAATTTATCCACTTCTTCACGAAAATCTGGCTTTCACCTTAATGAACCATACATCCAAGAGTTTCTGTACTCCATCTTTTAGGACAACAATCAAAGAAACAACATTAAAGGACTAATTATATATATATAATATATATATATATATACAGGAATCAAATTAATAATTACTTGAAAGAATATAACTACCAGTTTTGTGGAAGACCATTCTTATTATTCCGATTAGCAAATATAAATATATGATGCATGTCAAACACCATGCTAGAGAATAATTAACAACCTATTTATCCTTGCTAGAGACTAATTAAATATATATATTTCTCCATTTTAATTTGTTGATCACAATAAATAATTTCAAAGACAACAATTAGCAACAATTAATATTTTACCCACTATCCTTCATGCAAACTTAATCCTATTTCGTCAAACAAAAATGTAATTAAAAAACAAACCCTAGTTCTACATCTAGATGTACATGAAAAACATCCATAAAACTAACTAATACCCCACTAAAATCAAGAAAGATCGACTAAATAAGGGTATAATTTTATTCCACTAACAAATTTACCCTAGTACCTTCAAAACTTTGGTCTAATTTGCTTCATAAATGGCTCAAGCACCATAGAAGAGAAAGAAAATCAAAACTCTAATTAAGCACTAACCAACCATTAAAACTTAAAAAAAATCGAATAGCATTTTCTTACCTTCTACGACCTCTCCACCAAAAGAATTAAAATCAAAACCTTCCCCTCTTAAAAGAGCAATTTTGGGAGGTGCCCAAGGCCTCCCTTCCTTCCTCTCTCGGGCTATAGTATTTGGCCCGAGGAGGAAGAAGGGAGCACGGCCTTTATATGCTGGGCATTAGTAGGGGCGGTTGGTTATCCAGCCAAATGGATCAGTAGAGGCGGCTGGTCCATTGGGACCCGAGCACGCCCACTGTAGATACGGCTGGTGATTGAGCCGTCCCTTCTGGAAAAACAGGGCGTTGCTACAATTCATTTATGTAGTAGCGTTAGATTCTTAAAATCTACTGTATTTTGTAATTTATGTCGCTTCTAATTCCGGATCATTGTTTTTCATCTCTTCTTGCTTCTGATGTTCAAAAAAGTCTCTCTTCGCCATGGCCTAGGAACTGGCTCGCTGTCTCATGAAGTCGTGAAGATACTAATGCATGCGTTCTGGTGAAAGATCTTTAATTTTGAGCTGTTCAACGAATGCTGAAAAAACATTACAGTACAACCTGACACGATCATGTTTTCAACCCAACCCAAAACAAAACGGCACAGAGAGTAATAATGAAGTGGTTGCCACGTTTCTGTCGGTTCCAAGTTTCCAGCGGATAAATTGTCCAAGGTGAATTATTGACCCTCACGCAGTCACGCCTGACGCCTGAGGGTGACGGCCGAGGCCGAGCTAACAAATCCGTTTCTATCACAGTTCAGTTCCGGCCCTTCCGGGCCACAGCAATACACTATACCACATTTTTCGTATTCTTCAGTAGCTGACGTCGTCCATCAGGCGCTAATGGTCCGGCCGCCATCAATGCAGATGACCTGCCCGGTGACGTAGGACGCCGCCGGCAAGCAGAGGAACGACACCAGGGACGCTACCTCCGTCGGCTCGCCAGTCCGACGCATCGGGATGCGTGACAACTCTTGCTGCACCACCGCTGCCGGTAGCTATATGTGTTCATACGTTAGTATGTACTTCTTACAATTCTACGGCATCTATCCACAAAAAATGCAATTATAATAACCGTGTCGGTTAAACTAGTTCAAATTTAAGCAAATTTATAGAAAAAAAAGTATTAGCATTTATGTCTCAAGATAAATTTATTATTAATGGTATTTATTTTATATCATGAATGCTAGTATTTTTATATATAACTTTAGTTAAAGTTTGTTTGACTTATCGAAAAACGAGAATTACAATTTTTTTAGTTAGAGAAAGTATCAGAGTCTAAATAGCAGGAGTAATCATATTTCTGTGGGACCCACTCACCGCAAGGCTACTCCCGCCGCACTGCTACTCCTGACCACACACAGCACCAAGATTCCCTGAACCAGTGATGGATATGACTGATAACACTTATAGATACGTGCATCTTTTAGCTTCCTGCTTAGTCGATCCTCAAACTCAGAGTTGCATCCTTTTCGACAACATTATGTTTGATAGTTTTTATCATTTAGGCCACAAGAAATTATATATTTACTCTCTTCATCTGAAAACAATGTTATTCTAGATTTGGACTAAGTCAAACATTGTTAAATTTGAATGTTCATAGAAAATAGTATCAACATTTGTACCCCAAAAGAGTTGATAATTATTCAGCACCATAAATATTGATACTTTTTTATATATATAAGTGTTAAAGTTGAGATGGATTGACTCCTCCTAAAACAAGAATGACAATTCTTTTAGGACCCATGGAGTACCTCTTTAGCCATGTCTGTCATGATTACACCGGGTGCGACGCAGTTCACACGGATCTTATCACGGGCCCACTTAGTAGCTAGGCTCCTCGTCAGCTGGTTCAGTCCTCCTGCATAAACAATCATGAATGCAAGGGCAACCCAAGGATATACAAATATATGCATATGTGGACACTAGATTGAGAATAACACTGAATTTGAATTTTTTATTCTAAAATGAAAAGGTTTAGATGTGCCCTTATCATTGATGTATGATGAGTAATTGTTATGCACATTATGTCCTTGTAGTTAAGTTGCTATTGCTTATGACTAACCAGAGGCGAGCTCGTGGTGTTGCAAGATGACCCTTGGCTTGTGATGTGCAAGTGTTAAGCGTGTCATGGCGGCCCATGGCGATGGCGAAGGTCAAGTGAGGGATTCAAGTCGATGCTATACAGGTGGTGAAGGATGAACATAGAAGATTGGACCAAAGGACTGAAGGTTGAAGGATAGACCATGGACAGCAAGCACATGGGCATGACAACAAGAACAAGTAGGTGCAAGTAAGAGATGAAGACATTGTGGACTACAGACAAGGAAGTGATCAGACCAAGTCACGCGAGTGTGAGTACTTTGGTGATCAGACGGTCTAACAACAAGCGGGATACTCGTGGGCATCATGGAGGTTGCATAGAGGCCACACGACTCTAGATGGTTTTGTTGTTTTTGCCTCAAAACTATGGCATCAAAACTCCCGATTTCAACCTCAAAACTAGGGTGGAGAATCAGAAGACGTGTGGCATCATCACTGATCTGTATGGACGCGAAGCGAAGTCATGAAGGCATCGGGTCCATCGGATGGATGAAGAAATACCTTGAGCATTTTGCACCACAGTGGTATATATCTAGTATTAGGTCCAAATTGGAATATAGGTCCAAATTCCTTGGTTCATGGGGAATTTGTTTTTGGCTCCATTCATCCCGTCTCTAGTTCGCCTATTTGGTCCTTTCATTTTGGAAGGACGTGTCACGTATGTACTATCATTTAAAAAAAACGAAAAAAAGAAAACTGTCACGTACCTTTGGTGACGTTGTAGAGCGCTTCCTGTGGGAACGCCAGGAAGCTCGCGATGGAAGAGATGTGGACGACGCTTCCCCCGCCGGCGACGGAGGCGTTGATGAGCAGCGGGTGCGCGAGCTGGCTGAGGTGGAAGCACGACTCCAGGTTGGTCGCCATGATCAGAGAGTAGTCCTCCGCCGTGTACTCCGCCGGCGGCTTGAGGATCAGCAGCGCCGCGTTGTTCACCTGTACGTGCACATACTTCGCCGTCAAGCTGACATCGACTGATGATAGGCGAAGAGGAGATACATGCATGGTTTCACTTCGCCTTGAGCTTACCAGGATATCGAGCTTGCCGTCGAAGGTCGCCTTGACCGTGTCCATGAGCTTCTCCCGGTCGGCGCGCACGGCGACGTCGCAGCGGAGACCGTGACGCGGAGCCCCTTCTCGGCCGAGCACCGACGGCACTCCTCCAGGTCCGCCGCGCTGCGGGCACACGTGTGGACCCGTGCGCCGAACCTGGCCAGCTCCTCCATGATGGCGTGTCTTATCCCATCATATGTCTAAAGTTTTAAGGTAGGCTAAAGTTTACACAACACATCCACTACCGGATACAGGACCTTTGCCGAGTGCTAGGGGCACTCAGCGAAGCCCCAAAAACACTCGGCAAAGGGTTTGCCGAGTGTTACACTCGGCAAACGACACTCGACAAACTTGTTTACGGTAAACGCTAGTTTGCCGAGTGCCCAAAACACACTCGGCAAACTTTTTTTTTTCAAAAAACATAAAAAAGGCATGCCAACACCACGCCCGCACCACCAGCACCGCCGCCGCGCCACCACCACCATCAACGCTGTCGCCACCACGCCGGGGAAGAAGGGAGGGCCCCACCACGCCGCACCACCACCATCCACGCTGCCGCCACCATGCCGGGAAAAAAGGGAGGGCCCCCCCACGCTGCACCACCACCATGCCACACGCGCCACCAGCAAAGCTGCCTCCTCAAGCCGCTCGCCACAGCGACGTCGTCATCCGCGACCATCACGGGCTCCTACTCCGCAACGCCGTTGAGCTGCGACGCCCTCGCTGCGGCCACCTCTGCTCGCCGTCACCAGGAAGCCACGGTGTCGAGCCTCCACTGCCGTGCCATCCACCTCGACGAGCCTCGCCCAAGCCCGTCCTCGCCAGCGTTGCGCGTCGCCCGCTCCTTCCTCGTTGATCTGTGAATTCTACGAGCACGCCACTGGATCCGCCGCTCCTCCCTCTGCCACCACCACCACGCACGTCACCGCCGGATCTGGAGAGGGAGGGCCGGGAGGGGGGCGGCGCAGCCGGATCCGGGAGAGGGAGGGCTGGGAGGGGGGCGGCGCCGCCGGATCCGGGAGAGGGAGGAGGGCCGGGAAAGGGAGGCGCCGAATCTAGTGAGGGGAGGGCGGGCCGCGCCGGCGAGGGAGGAGGGGAGGGCAGGCTGCGCCGGTGCCGGAGAGGGAGGAGGGGAGGGCACGGCCTCGCCGGAGTCGAGAGGGAGGAGGGGGCGGCGCGTGCGCGGAGAAGGAGAGTCTGCTTTAATTAAAAATAAGTGTGAGAACTTTTTATCCTTTGGTCGATTTGTAATTTTTTATCCTTTCGTTGTCATCACCTCTTAAGCGAACTAAACCAACATAATTTTTGGACTGAAGTATTTGGAGATATGAAAATGTAAAGTTTGCTGCCTCAGTTCTTAGACAGTATCTGTAGGCTGTTTTCAACAGCGGTTTGGGCCATCTTAAAGGCGTGATAAAAATATAAGCTCTTCATAAAAGTTGTAGAAATTTTCAGTACTTTACCAAGGAGTATTTAACGCATTTGTTTGTTGAGTATTATGGGAGATATCACGTTCTGAATTTACTATCAGTTTCTGTCAGAGTACAGATTCAGTTCGACCATCAGTTTTGGGTGCCAATTTAGGAATTCGTCGAAGCCGAATTGGTTCAGTATGCTATGGAGGTTTTTATAGTACTTTGTATTTAACTCTAATTTTGGTTGGATGGATTTGGAAATATTTTTTTTTCGAAAACAGTGTTGCTGCTGCTAATAAACAGAGCATGTCTGTCACTGGGTAGGCTGTTTTTAAAATAGAAAATGGCAAAATATGACCTTGGTTTGAATGCCAAAGTTGTAGCTTGTTCAATGTAGATGCTTGGAAAGTGTTTATTTGTTATTACCTCTATTAGGGTTTCAAAGATACAAAAGAAAACAAACAGCGCTGCTGCTGTTTTTTTGAGGTGAAGTGGGGCTGTTTTCACCCGTTGTTGGTCTGAATGTAGGAGGGCTTTGTATATTGTTTGTAAGTGGTCTTTGGAGTGCATGTACTGAATTATGTGCTTGAAAACAGGTGGAAGCACTTCGGAACGTCGCTAGCGTTTTTTTGATATCCTTGGGTAAAGAGGCAAGTAAACATAGCGGTTGTTGGCTACAAGCTTTAACTTGTTATTTATTCTACCTCCACCTAAAAAAACTCAGAACCCAATACAATATAATGTTACCTCTCAACCATGATATAATGATTTTCGTGACATGCTCTATGCTCTCCATTTGAATATCTATGTCCTGCACTTGTGGTTTGATGACACTCATGTTGATTCAATGGAACAAGGCTTGTTGTCCCCATGGAGAGATGCTCTTGGTGTTATATGTGATTATTTATCATTATTCTTATGGCATTTGCATTGCATCATATGCATTCATTGGCATATGGAGTTATGACGCCGCTTGATAGCAGCGATCGTACCGGTATAGCATCGTTTATTGGGCATAACGATGCGGCTTCATACCTTGTTGGGTATGAAGGCAGGAGACATGGCATTTGCATTGCATATGCACTATAATTTTGGCGTATGGCACGATAGCCTTGGACTGAGGCTTTGGATGAGTTTGTGAGAAGCTATGCTTCTCCAAGGTTTAGTGATTATTAATTCTTTCCATGTATGAGGTTGTGTCAATTGTTGGATATATCTCATTGCTTATTGTTGGCTTACATATAATTGAGGTTTAAATCGATCCTAATCAACTTGTAGTTTAAATAGCTTGTTAAAGTAGTTTACTTGCTGAGATTTTTATTTCTCACACCTACTTTCTATCTTTCCAGGTGCTGAAGTGGCGTTGCTTGAAGGGTAGGAAAGTAGCAGCACCTTTGCACATCAATGCCACAGTCCAATGTTAAAATAATATGTATTGTAGTGATAGCTTGATTAGAAGTGGAGCTTATACTTATGGTTTTTGTTGGGCCGTTTTTGTAGTCTTATGATGTTATATATCTTGTTGGTGAAACTGATCTATATCTCTCTATGTGCTGTTGCTTCCGCGTTGCTCCGGTTTAAGGGGAATTGCTGCCAAAATTATTGTTAAATGGTCTAGTTTTCTCTTTCTTGTGGTGACATCTTAGGTAGGGAGGTTTTGGGGTGTTACACTCGCAGCCACCGCTGGCATGAGAGACGGCAACAAGATAATGGAGTTCGGGTAGCCGATGGACATGCGGCACGTGGGGCATATGATGTTCGACCGGTTCCACGGCTTCCGTGGCATCCCCGAGGAGCTGCTGCTGTCCAGCCTAAGGGCGGTGGTGGATGTCGTCGATGACATCGCCGGGGTGCCCAGCGGCGGCAAGACAGTGTTCGGCGTGTCGACGGAGTCGATGCAGCGTCCCCACCTCATTTGAGAAGTTCGAGTCACTTTTTAATGGGTCGTTTTGGGCCTGGCTGAGGTGGCTCTCTCCCCTTGAGAAGTCAACCCACCACTGCGGGTGCCCTTCGTCCTCAAATTTTTTGTTACTGCAGTCACAAAAGTCGCAGTGGCATCGCATCATTGTAGTTCTGGTTGAACACACAGGAGACACAGAAACAGAGGATGGCAGCGGCGACCGGCGGCAAGACGTGGAGCCTGGCCGGCGCCACAACGCTGGTAACCGGTGGCGGCAAGGAGATCGGCCACGCGATCGTGGAGGAGCTGGCCGGGTTCTGTGCTCAGGTGCACACGTGCGCTCGCAGCACGGCGGACCTGAGGAGTGCCGCTGGGGGTGGGCCGAGATGGGGCTCCGCGTCACCGTCTCGGTCTGCAACGTCGCTGTGCGCGCCGACCGGGAGAAGCTCATCATGGACACGGTCAAGGCGACCTTCGACGGCAAGCTCGATAACCTGGTAAGCTAAAGGTGAAACCATACATCTCCGGGCTCCGGCTACGGGGATCCCATACACGGCGAAGTAAGTGCCCGTACAGGTGAACAATGCGGCGCTGCTGATCCTCAAGCCACCGGCGGGAGTACACGGCGGTGGACTACTCCCAGACTGCAACAAGATAATGGAGTTTGTTTGCTTGGCCGTCACCGACAGGCCAATAGTTCACCTTGGAACTCGGCCGTCCCCGTCTGGTCAATAATTACTGTCTGTGCCGTTTGTTTGTTGGGTTGGGCTGAAAACATGATCGTGTCAGGTTGTAATGTAATTTTTTTTTTTGGCATTCGTTCAGCAGCTCCAAATGAAAGATCTTTCACCAGAACACATGCATCAATATCATCATCATTCCAAGTTTGAAACAGTGTACTAGCTAGGAAGGTGCAGTTACGGCTATAAGACCACCTAGGACGCTCAAACGTGTTTGTATGGTTAAATTCTTCTTCTTAATTATAATAATACGTAAATCGTTTACGTATTCGAGAAAAAAAATATCATCATCATGAGTTTCAAAACACAGCGAGCCAGTTTCTAGGCCATGGCACAAGCCAGAAGAATGCAGGATCCATGAGTGTGCTGCCTCGGTCGGCGGCGTCCATGGCGCATCCATTGTGATTGTGGTGGCCGTCCTCGCCTACCTGCGACATGGGCATTAGTCGGCTGCGGCCTGCGGACGTCCATAACGAAATGGCTTTGTTTGGGTCTTGGAAGGAGCCAAGCCGGTAAATAATAATAACTGAGAAATAACTAATTAATCTCGTCTCGAGATTTTGTCAGCCCAATTTTCAAAGGTGCTCGTAGCGTAGGATTAGCGTGCGCGCCGTAAGATTCTGCATGGTATTGTGTGATAACTAATAAAAAAAGGTGGGCTACTTTTGAGATGCGTGCAATTCTAGGAGAGAGGACAACTAGAGCAATTGTCATAACAAAAATAATGAGACAGTAGCGTGGTGCCACAAAAGAAAATACGTGTTAGAGAATTAGGCATTTTTATGGTCAATTTAATCTAGAAATATAACATCAGCAGATTTGCGATGA